GTTGAGGAGTGTTATCGTGGGTGCCAATAGGCACAACCATGTAATTTCCTTCAGCCCTGAGGGCTGAACACTGAAGGGATTGATGGTAACGAATAAGACGGATGGACGACATCTCCACCAAGATCGAACTGTGGCTTTCCAACGGTTTCTGTGGCCCGGCAATACTTCGCCACCGGATCTACAATCCTCTTCTGGCGACATAACCGATCCAGCCCATAACAGAGGTTCCACTGTGGCGGTGCGGAGGCGATCCAAGTTCCCCAATCCAGTCAATGTTTCACGACCGATTATTGTGGCTGGTTGGGGAATGTCTCCAATGTGGATGTTCTTCAGGGACGGTGAGCATGTTATTGTCTCATAGTGCCCTTGCTGGGGCCCGTACGGAGTACTAGTAAGTCCTCTGCACTGTCCTATGTGGGGAACTCTATATCAGGAATCCTCTGCGGACTAACACAGTAGGTACTAGCAGTTGATGGGGCCATACATGCAGGAACTGAACCTTCAGACTTAGTAAGGAATGAGTAAAACCCCCCCTCCAGTGGGACCGACATGTGAAAGGAGAGCAGAGGGACAGGAGAGAAGAGTAGATCGGCAAGTTCTCTGGAAAAGAGAAGGCAGGAGGCAGAGAGTGGAACCAAGGAGTTTGCTACGTCTCTTATCGGGCTCTGTCGAGATCATTTCATTCATTCTCGCTTTCAAGTGCATGTATGTAAAATATAGTACAGCGGGTCATGTTCACGTCATTACTCTTGAGATCCTTTGGGGGCCTTTCGTTGGGCGTCTTCGTCCTTCAGTCAAGGATAGAGAACTGGTACTTTTGATAGAAATAATGGGACAATTTCCCAGGAAACTGTCCCTCAATGCTGTCAGCAGAGAAAACGTCACAGACAAGTTTCAATGCAAACCTGACCAAGCAGGCTAGAGCGAATGGAAAGTTTTGCACGCAGAATCTCATACTGCGGCATATGTTGCAGGCATATTGATAACGCCAAGTTCGTGACGCTCCGGTAGGGACTGCAAGGCAAAAAGCCCAGTGGGCAATGGTTGCCACACACACGTCAACATTAGGGTAAACCAGGTCCCGTGGTCTATGAGCTCCCGATGTAGAATCGTGCGTCTCGAACACCGGAAAATCGTCCCTGACTGTGAAAAGTGCCTCGGTAGGTTCGGGCAGGATATGGACGGGTTGAGATTCCCTCCACTCTTGTAGGCGATGGATTATTTGTGTGGCTTGATCCTCGGCAGTGTACTCAAACTCATCGAACGAGGTACAGCTAGAAGAAGAGTCCGAGCTTGGCGAGGTGCATCCCATTTGCCTCCAAAGCCCGGGAATATCCGCGGCGATGTCCAGGAGGCTATGTAGGTTGCTTCGTGGGCTTGCTTCGGTCCAGGGGACGGTTTTCCAGTCGTCGGTCGCCAGGAATGTCCGTCCGTGTGATATCGCGGAGAGGATCTATTTCAATATTAGTTCATAGAAGCTCGCTTGATTTTCATTTCTCGTGGTCATCAGTGAGATGTACCCATGATAGGCGCAAATCTGCATAGATAGAGTGGCCCACGCCTTTGCAATGGTTCAACGGAGTTCGTAGGCATAGCAAATCTAGGCCTCCTTGTTGATGCTTTACGAGAGCATCCTTGGAGCCTCCTTCGTACATCTGGCCGGTCCATTTAGCGGGATTGGAACGAACTCGGACTCATGGGACATACACACCTCAATCATTCCAAACAGAGTGATCGCCACGAAAACATCGTCGCGTAAGCGTCTCTGTGCGTCACATATCGCCGACCCTGCTAATCGTAAAGCACATGTATACCGAACCAGACCAGAATGGGTGGACTTCGGATCGCACGAGATTTTGCCCATCAGGACAAAGGATGTGGCTTCGATGGCCGCACATAGTAGGGGGGAACTGGAGCGCATCTGGACCGCTTGCTCCAGCCAGACGGGCACCGTGCGCCTGCCGTCAACATCGACACTGAACACTTCTACTAGGGATTGGATGGAACGCTCCGTATGGGTAGGTCGCACAGCGAGACTACTATTGGATTGCACGTAGGGCTGCGATTGCTCTGTACAGAATCTCTTCTCTTTTGAGCGGGATCAGCATGGCGGACATCAGTTGATCGTGCAAGGAGCAAACCGCCACATACCATCCAACTCCAGTTTCGGCTGCACAGCCTCTCGGCATGTAGATGTACTTGGACTTCGTCGATGTGGATTTCGCGACCGTGGTTGCTTTCCTCGTTGTTTGGGAGGGTCCGCTTGTTGTGACGTGAGGTAAACCGGAATTTTCTTATCTGAAGCCGACATAAGGGTGAGGATCCGCTGCTCGAGGAAATTACGCCGTTGTTGGAGGCGTCGCAAAAGATGGGCCTGCTCAATGAACCACCGATCTTCTAGAGTAACGGTGTATTCGCATTTCGCTTGTCGTCCTCGTACGCAGCAGGCACTGCATGGCCTGACATGATTGCACTATACCACCCACTTATCAGCACCACATGGAGTGGGTTCGCTAATCCACGGCAGGGTGAATTCAGGTACCTTAATTTTCTGGAAATGGCAGGGTATACATGAGAGCACTGCTCTTTGCTTTTTGTTCCTTCGGGGGGCTTCTGAAGCTGCACCATCCATCATGCCCAATAATTCTTGTTTGTATGTTTAGATTCCTTGAATGCACACCGGGTTTCGGAGGGGGGGGAATTCGGTCGTCTCAAAAAGGAAAGAAGAACGAGGGACTTCGAAGGTAAAAAAAAACGCAGTTTACTGTTTGGAAAGGGGGAGTAAGGCAGTACGGAGTAGAAAGTGCCAGTATAGGCGTTTAGCCAGTCGCGACCTGTCCGAAGAAGAATTGACGAACAACCTAGCTTCGTTTTGGTCATGTCGTTATTTGTCAGCCCACTTAACAAGCATCTAAAAGTCTTTCGGTGGGACAGGTTACAACACTATCTTTTAGTACTACGTTTGTACTGGTGTGGCCGAGGGACGGGTCAAGGTGCAGATCGAGGAACCAGGTCATTACTCTGGAGTAGGGCTAAGAGAATAGCGCAAGTCAAGGTTCCTTCTCTGGGGATCTGCAGCATTGTAACCAATATCTCAGTAGTCTATCTTGCTGTCGGCCAAGAACTGTATACCGGATCCTGCGCCACATCTGATCATCGGAACCGACCCTCGGCCGGAATGCTGTGGCTACTTGTCATAAAACCGTTCAAAGGACGGGACGGAGGACGGGATCTTGAGATTAGCTTGATTGGAACCACTGTGACTTGCTGCTACAGATTGAGGTAAGGAGAGGGATCGAAGGAGGAGGAGGCTTTGTTGGACATTGCGACACGGAGTGATCGGAATCTCAAAGGAATGTATGTCTGTGCTGTCCGCCTACTCAGTAACACATCCTGCATATCTGGCGCCCATCAGATCTCCAATTCTCAATGTCAGTCAGAAACTTTAGGCATCAGGAAGCGAGCTTAGTCTCGGTACGCTGGTGAGGACCAAGTTGGCCAACCTTTCAAGCTAGGGCTTGGGGATCCACTGGGTGGCAAACCATTCGGATTCCTCAGGCAGACCAGTTCGTACTAGTCAAAGTCCCTTGTTTATATGGTTATGCAATCGTATTATTCATAAGTTTATTTGATTTTTGATTTTAATTAG